AAAAAAAGCAACCAGACCTTTGAGAGGAAAAGGAATTGACCCATTAGCCAGTACCAAATGTTTGCATTTAACTTCACAACAAGCGACTTATTGAAACAGAGCTATTTCAGAGAAACAGGGAGGAGCTCGAGCTACCACCAGAAATTAGAAGTTCCCCACATTCCTCGAGACTTGGGAGGCTAGATCTGAATGAGACCCCTGCAGCCTTTGACTCAAGATTTTTCAGACTTTTAGTTGTTCCCTAAACAGAGAAACCCCCACGTAGGGTATATAGTCTCAGAATATATGCCATCCGAGGGTGTGCGTGTGCGCGCGCATGCGTGCACGTAGGTAGGCGTTTTAGGGCCCCTGCATCCTTCAAATCCATCAGCCCCTTCTGTTTGCTCATATACCCTCTCTGTCCAGGCTAATCACTCTTTGCAGTTAAGCACCCCAATAAATGTAATGGACGTTCCTTGCATCCTTCCCATCACAGTTAATAATGTGTGCATAGGGACAGCGACTCTGGGCTCTGTGTTCTGTAATGCAAAGCATGGGTCCAAATCTCCCAGGCCTTCAGTGGCATGATGAGGACAGAGGCTTGTAGGATGCTCGAGCCCTCCCTGAAGAATAGAATATACTGCTCTGCCCTGGTAGCTTTTGTAGAAAAATGTCAGCATTCCCCAGAGACCAGTTCCCGCTTCTACGATGTGCACTTTGTAAGTTGTGTAACCTGTGTTAGGAGCGTTCTTCTGAGCTCTAGCATCATGGATAGTATTTGGGGCTTTGCATCATATGCTCCACCCCAGGCGCTCTCTTGATATTTTGCAAACGTTTATTGCAGTTTGTGAAATCCTGAGACCTGGGTGGTTGCATGGCACTGCTTACTGGACGAAGGGGTAAATGGAATTCTTTGGGCCTCGGCTATGCGCACCTGTGGGCGCTGTTGTTGGGAAAGCCTTGTTTTTCATGGCTGCCGATCTGGAAGTAATGGCTTGTCTTCCCTCTCCTGCAGAACCCAGCTCAGACTGGAAAGTCTGGAAGATACACACATAATTAAGGGAGAAGACGATGCTCTGTCTGACAAACACGGCTGCCCGGCCTACGTGAGCCCCGAGATTCTGAACACCACCGGGACCTACTCTGGAAAGGCGGCGGACGTTTGGAGCCTGGGGGTGATGCTCTACACCCTTTTGGTGGGGCGATACCCCTTCCATGACTCAGACCCCAGCGCCCTCTTCTCCAAAATCCGCCGTGGACAGTTCTGCATTCCCGACCACGTGTCCCCGAAAGCCAGGTGCCTCATTCGCAGCCTCCTGAGACGGGAGCCGTCCGAGAGGCTCGCCGCCCCTGAGATCCTACTCCACCCCTGGTTCCAGTCCGTCCTGGAACCTGGGCACGACGACTCAGAAATGGGAACTGCAGACCAGATTGTCCCAGAGTGCCAGGAGGACAGTGACGTTAGTTCCTTCTTCTGCTGATCCCAAAAAAACCTCAGAAACCTCATAATTCTCACACATGGCATTTCCATTTCTCAAGACGGACAGGCCTTTCGACGTGGTGCCAACCAGATATGTGATGGCGTAAAGACTGTAGCTGCTGAACTCAACGTGGCGCCCCTCTGACTCGTTGCGATGAGTGACTCCGTTGATCCGAACAGTGCACGCTGTGACTGGCTGCCCGCAAAGCCATCTCCCTTCCGAGCGAACCCTTCCCAACGGTCCCTTTGTCAGGTTCGGAGGATTCTGCATTTTTTATAGGTGGCAAGAAGTATGGATATCCTGCAGCATGTGATCAAGTGACGTGAACTCGAACATCCTAAAAGGAGAGGGAGTGAATCGCGCAATGGCATTTTGGGCAATAACCTATTTTAACGGGGTGACAAGTAATTTGGGCCAATCAACCTGCCATCTTCAAACTTGTCTTTGGTAGCTAGACTTTCGCTACCCCAGCTCCTCTGATCGGAAAGTTCCTTTTTTTTTTTTTCTCTTAAGTTTGGTTTAACACTCACCCTTTCTTCACGCACATTTACCAATGACTCTGCTCTGTGTTGGGAGTAGACCGTTTCGGGAGCATCGGAGCCTGCCTGAACCCTGCACCCAGACTCTCCCCTCCATTTCCTGCCAAGACCCCACTTGCACTAATGCCTTCTTTCTGACCTTGAAACAGTCTCCTTTCCCCCTTCGCTCTAAAAGCACTTAGCAGCTGACCTTGGAAAAGTATCACAAAAGATTTGAACTCCTGGATATTTCAGAACTCTGAGCTCAGACAGAGAGACTGCGCGTTTTCAAAAATAATTTGAGCACTTGAAACTCTTAGCTTTTTTGGTTCCCCTCAAATATGTTAGCATTTATCCTTCACTCCGCCCCCCTCCCCCCAAGTCCATCTCAGGGTGGAGCATTTTGTTTAGGAGGAGAAAGATAAGGACACTGTACACGTCCCTCTCCCAAGAGCAAATGTTAAACTTCGGAGAAAGTGAATTTTGGATAGTTCTCAGACCAACTTCCAGAATTATACTCTACCCTCCTCCGCCCATGGACATGGTCTGTCCTTGGCATTGTGTGTGTGTCTGCAGTTTTGCATGATGGGTTGTTAATATTTCAAATGTGGTGTGGTTTATGAATACATCTGTATAATCAGCATCTGGAGTGAAACAGCGAGCCCCGATTTAAAGTCAGAAGGGACTTTAAACGTCTAGTCCAACTTCTTTCCTCTTCCTGCAGAAATCCCCCCTTCAGCTTCTTTTACAGCTGGAAATCCAGCCTCTGTTCGAATGCTTCCAGAGACGGGAACTCACTCCCTACAAATGATAGAGCTTAAGAGAGAAATGGCAACTTGCATTAAAAAAACCAGTACAGATGCAATACCAAGAAACGTCTTGGACAGGACTGAAATTGGGTGGTTAAACGGGTAAACCCAACATACTGTAATTTGAGAAATGGCACAAAAACAGGCAGTCATCTTCAAGGGCTATGCCTAGGCAAACTACTAACCTGCATCGTTAAGAACGCCGTGTATACCTCATGTACTGTGTACTTTGTACATATATTTTACCTTTTATACATATGTCTGATATTTTTTGTTGTTTTGGCTCTGAGGCTTGTTTTGTTATGTCTGTCTGAATAACCTGCGTGTCTAAAACCACGTGAAATGTGAATGATTTTTGGCAATATTACCTTGACAGAATCATGGGACTCGGAGAAGAGAGAGGACAGAGAGGCCTCTGTCGCACTAACTCTCGTGGTTGATCGGTTGTTGTATCTGTGATACGTTACCCAGCTGGGGACTCCGGGCTGGCTGGGGCTTCTGCCAGAAAAGCTAGAAACACTAGATCCTTCCTGTACATGTGTATATATGTGAACAGTGAGATGGCCGTTTTTGACTTGTAGAAAAATTTTAATAAATCTGATTTCGTAAATAGGCATAGTGAATTTCTTTTGGCTGGTGCGATATCATGCTGGGGGATGCAAAGGACTCTTGCCTTGGATTGGACTCTCATGGGGGAGACAGAAGTAAAGAGATGATGATTATTATATATGACTATTATATACGACTGTTGCCATTGAAGCGGGGAAATTGGTTTTGATGGGTGAAGCCAATTTGGTAAAATCAGGTTGGGAGGGCTATGGGTTGAATTTAGAGTGGAGAAATGTTAAAAGAGGAGCATACATAATTAAGCCTTGACTTGTGAGATTTTCTCAGGCTTTCGGTCTTTTTTTTTAGGTCAGGGACCCTTGAGAATTTGATGAAAGCTATGGACACTAATCAGAAAAATATACACATGTGTATCCAACAGAATTTTGCTGTAATTTAAGATGTCCACATAGATCCCTGAAGCTATCCCAGGCTTCCTGTTGAGAACTACCCTCCCCTACTCCATTAGATTTAATTAAGATGGCTAATCGAGGCATTTCCTTTTTCCCCCTGTAAGCATAAAAATGGAAATAAAGGAAAAACTAAAGACATTTTGAACCAGAAAGGTAGAAAAGGAAAGGATTTCGATTTCACGAGGTTTATAGCTTCACTATTACATCAGAATCTATTTTAAATGAAGTTAATTAGCAACCAGAGTGATAAACAAACAAACAAAAACACCCTATGTGGTAAAGTGTACCAAATACACAGAAAAAAAAAAAGCACATATAAGTATATAGCTCTGAATTTTCACCAACTTAGCACAGTGATGTAACCAACAGCCAGATCAAGAAAACTAAACAGTGCCGGGACCCTAGAAGCCCCCTTCTGCCCTGTTTAGTCCCTGCCCGACACCCCCGCCAAGGATTAGCACTGTGGGACAGAATTTTAACTCTTAACTGTAAGAATTAGAATAAGGACTAAGCCACCAATTCTGGGCCTCAACGAAGAGGCATGCAGAAGTTACCGGTGACACAACTGCCCTTTCTTCGAACTCAGGCTGAGATCATTCAGGAAAGCAGACCTATGACACCGAAGCCAGTGCAACTCAGGCCTCATGACTCAGGAACTTAAGAAAAGAAATGGAAAAGGCACATCAGAAGCAACATGGGAAATGGCCAAATGCTCGGGTAGCTTAGAAACTAGGAAGCTGGGGGTTGGTCTCTGGCCGTCCGGTGCATAGCACCCTTCAACTCCAAAGTGCCTGGGACACGCCTCAGCCTGGAACCTACATTATAGTGTCTCCCTGCTCCAAGGAACCTAGATGAGGCTCAGCATAACTCCTTGAGCATATAGACGGCTAATACTTTGGACTTCACCAAGCTTTTTAATCTAAGGATTTCGAAACGCTTTGCGAGCAATTAAGGTTACAACACCTCTTTGTACTGTCGTTACATGCACCAAATGTAGAGAAATATGAGTCAGGATTGGCTGAGATGACACGTGACGCCACAAATCCATAAATTTAATCTCTTCTGAGGTTGGGACAAATCTGGGGCAGTCACAACCACTTCCATTATAGAAAGTTGGAATGAAAGTGTGTTGAGCACTGATCATTTTAGAGTGAATCGGACAAGTAACATCTCAACCTTTTATTCATATTTCACTTTCTAGAAGTTTCCCTCTTTTCCTCTCCTCTCTCCTCCAGCCTTTACGACAGTCTAGTGAAACAGGCAAGTCAGATAGTATTTGCTCCATTTTATGGATGAGAAAACAGAGGTTTAAGTGTCTTTCGGTAGCCATTCAGGAATAAACAGCTCAGAGCTGGGACTTGAACTTCAGTTTTTAGACTCCTTGCCCAATGTTGTTGCTATGTCTGTACACCACCACACAAAGCCTAATGGCAAGAATGATGATCGAAGAAGGTGGTTCAAGACAAATACAAATACTGAGTTTTAGCCCCGTTAACATCTTCAAAACAACCCAGTACATCTCTCATAAAGGTGGGAGCATTAGAGAAGATGAGAGATGTTATTCAAGAAACAATTACTGTGTGCATACCATGTACCAGGCACTGTGGTAGACCCTTTGAAAACTACTTAATGGAATGCTAAGCTCCATGAGGTCAGGGTCTGTGACAGTCCCGTTCACCGGTGGCTCCCCAGCACTCGGCACAGTGCTTACCACAGGAAGATGTCCAATGCCAACGTGGATAAATGGGTGGGTGCATGGATGGGTAGGTGGATGGATGAGTGGATGGATGGGTGGATAGATGGGCAGATGGATGGATGAGTGGATGAACAGATGTGTAGATGAATGGATGTGTGGATGGATGGGCAAGTGGATGTCCTCTAGCAGCTCAGAGCCTAATGAGCCTCCAAACAGAGAGCCAAGAGCAAAGAAGTGGAAATATTGTGACTGGGGACTCATTCTAGCTCTGATGTCCTTCTGCTATATGTCCTTCTGCTGTATCTCCTTCTGACCTTGAACGAGCATATCTGCCACTCAGGTTCTCATTTGTTCATCTTGAAGCAGGAGTGATACTCTGGTTTCTTTGATTCCTTCAGCTGCTACGGGATTCAGTGATTCTGTGGTTCTGCGAAAACAGGCCCCATAATGTTCTTCATCAGAGCGACCACGAGAACAGCTTTGCGCTTCCGTTTTACACTAGTCACAGGCAGCATGATTGTTCCTCGTCTAATTTTATTCTGGATGAGAAAAGGCATTTTAGTAATGAAAATTATGGAATCGGCTTTTTAACGTGACTTTGGCTAGGAAAAGGAGGGCAAGTGTTTAGTTAATCATTCCCCTGTGTCCTTTCAGAAAAAGGGTAAAAGAGGATGGGGAAGCAAGACCTCTTTACCAACCCCTGGGAACTGCCCGTACCCCTTTCACTGGAGTCTTAAAGATCCCAGTCATAGTCCATACTTAGTGGATCCCAGAAGAGATAAGAGAAGAGAAAGAGGCAGCCAAGTGTCATCCCTCAATCCTGCAGGGTATTTTACAGTGCAGGTCTCTTTCCATCTTCTCAGCAACCTTGCGAGGTGGGTGATTTGTTCCCATTTAACAGATGTGGATGCCGAAACCCAGGGGGTAAACTCAAGCTCACCCAGCTAGTGAGTGGGTGTCTGGGACTCCAACCCAAGCCTGCGAGACCCTAGATCTTTGCCCCTTCCAGTTCTGTGCTTTCCGTTTTGGGTCTGACGTGCTAGACCAGCAACACGGCGTCTCCTTTTTGGAGCAACCATTTTGCTGGGAGAGTCAGTGCCAGGACATGTACAGTATGCTGGGTTAGTCATGTTAGTCTGATTTCTACCAGCTGAGATTGATCGAAGGAATGCTGGTGCTAGACTAAGTGTTTCACACGAATTAGCGAACGATGACCTCGCAGCACCCCTGTAAAGCCGTACTGGTGTCATCCTCTTTTGTCCATGAAGAGACAGGTTTAGAGAGGGTGATGGATTTGCCCAAAGTCACACAGCACATTCGCATTCATTTGCTAATTGACACACCCAGATCCCTTAACCATGAAGGCTTACTGCCTCTTTGTTTTTAGAACTGAGAAGAGACTTCATAGATGATTTAGTCCCGAATGCACTCTGCTATCCTGGGACAGGAAAAAGGACATTAGTGGGAAAACGAGTAACATGCAAATAGTCTGGAGTTTAATGAATAATAATGTGCCATTGTTGGTTTCTTAGTTGTGACGAATGTACCATGGAGATGTACAAGGGTAGCCGTGGAGGAAACTGAGTAAAAGCTATATGGGAACGCTCTGGACTATTTTTTGCAACTTTTATGTACATCTAAAATTATTCCAAAATAAAACATTTCTTAAAAAAATAGATTTAGTTCACACTTGCCCCAGTGTCAGCCAGGGGAAACCAAGGCTGAGATTGAGAAAAATCACAGCCAAGTAGTGGCCGGGCCACTCCTACCCCAGCACCCCCAAGCCTGCCCACCGAGCTCCAGCGTCGTGGGTGCTGGCAGGCGTGTCGTGGGCGACCTTCTGGACTGCGTCTAGAGCTGCATGAGGTGAATGTGAGGCGCGTCTGTGAAATGTGTCGGAACCTTTTCTTGACAGGACATGGCATTTTGAAAGCTGAGTTTCTAGGTCTGACCTTTAGATCAGTGACTACGCGAGTGTCCCCATCAGTTTCTTCATGCTGTCATCGCGCTCAGTCACCCACGGCCCGGTGAGCCAGCCTGAGGGCTGTGCCACTCAGGCATGAATTTGAATTCCATGCCTCATTAGCTAGAAGGCAGCGGGAACAAGTTGAGGAAAAATGGCCATGTGAAGAGGAAGGCACGTGGGGGTCAGGGCTCAAGTACCTCCACACAGATTTCTCCTCCAAGCTCAAGAGGCTCCCTTGTCTCTGGGAGTTTAAGAGCCTTGCACCTGCAGGGGTCTCCTCACCTGTGTCCGTGGTGGGGCTGTAGCCTCCGCGGCCAGGAAGCAGGTAAGTCCGCGCTCCCGCCATGTTACAGATGGGGAAGCCACGCCCGAGAGCGGTAAGAGCCGCCAATTTGCAATGAATGCTCGTTTTGTATTTACAATTTTTCTTTCTCAATAGCTGGCGTTAGTTGCTTTCCTGAATTTTTGCTGATCGGCATCTTTCTCACTTCTTCACGGAGGATGTGCATGTGTGGATGACATTTTATAGTCGGAGTTTCACCCTGGACACACAATACGTGTCAGACACATTGCAGGACAGCCTGAGCCAAGAAAAGGAATAATTAAGACAACGATGTTGGTGGGAGCCCACAGGTATGGAGTATTTAGTATTTGCCCAATACTGCGTTAGCACCTGGCAAGCATGGTCTCATTTAATTCTTACAACGGCTCTGTGAGGAAGATATTCTTATTTGTCCTATTTTACAAGTGAGCACATGAAAGCCCAGAGAGAATAAGTAACTTGCTCAAGGTCACACAGCTAGTGAATGAGATCTGAACATGGGACGTTCTCTAAAGAACATGCTCATAATGTGTAAGTGACCCGTGTCCCCATTTTGGCATGTGTTCACTTTTTACATTTTATTACCACCTCTAAAGTCCTGTCGGATCAGT